TATATTTATATTTTTATATATATATAAAAAAGCACTTGGTTTCCAGGGGCATTCATAATGAGGTCCACAGTGTTTAGAACTTAAAATTCTTTTTCTTTGTTTGGAACAGTGTTTTAAAGTTTTGTTTTAATTAAAAGACAGTCTTAAAGCATGTTGGACTTCAAAAACATGAGTTTGTTCATGTCTTCTGGACTGAGTAGCCGTCTCCTTTTGATTAAGAGAGCCTGCTCACACATATTTACACATTCGCTTCTGGCACCAACAGCAGGCACTGCTAGGAGCCAAAAGGCTAGCTTGGCTAGTTTTGTATGCTTTTGGGTAACACACGACCAGTACTGAAACAGGTCAGGGGTGGCCTGGAAGAGAGGTTCTTGCAAATAATCATAGACTTCATTTTTCCCGAACCAATCTTCTTCCTGAGCTGCTGTGGCTTCCCCTGCTGCCCGAGGCTTCTTGGTTGAAGGTTCAAATTCTGTTTCTTCTGCCCAGGACTCTTTCACCTCATTGATCAACTCACAGACCTTGCCAATGATCTCTTCGTGCTGGTACGGTGGGACGGGCCGCAGCTTCTGCTGAGGGTCTAAGATCATGGCTACCTTGTGTGCCGAATGAACTTTGAAGTTCTCTTTCAGCGCCTCCAAGAAGAGGTGGCAGAGTTTGCTGACTACGCCAGCATCGTTAGCTTTGGAAGTGAACAGTTTCTCCAGTTTGACGTAGGTGGGCAGTACCAGCTGCAAGGTGGGCCTGCGCTCGTTGCTCAGCTCAATCACTGCCTGTTTCACCGGGGCCAGAATGGCTGCCAGGTTGCTGAGCAGGTGTTTGTTTAGGTTTTGGATGAGGTTCATCTTCTTGGCCCTGCTGTAGAACTCGCAGATCTGCTCGTAGCGCTCGTGGACGAGCAGGAGGGAGTCGGTGACCGAGTTCCAGCAGGGTGGGGGAGAGGTCTCTTCCAGGGAGCCAAAGGTCTCCTTCGAGAGGCCCGTGGATCCTGCCAGATCTTCACAGACATTCAGGAGCTCGATCACTTCGTGCATATTGCGAGCCTGTAGTGTTCGCTTATTCAGCACGCTCTGCACTACTGAGTTCAAGGCACAGGCCGAACAACGCAAGCACATGCCTGCCTTGGAGAACGCAGAGGAATTGACTTTGCAGTCTGTGACGTACACCGTCCTGATCTCCGACATCACAAACTCCGAGAGCACGTTCTGTACCCAGTGGTGGATAAAATCACCATTATCTCGAATGTCTACACCCTTAATTCCCAGGACGTAACTCTTGATGTGGTTGCCCTCCACCTGATAAGCTGTCAGGATGTAGCAAGAGTCGGGGCCGATGCTCTGCGAGTGGCAGGTGACACCGATGCCAAGGCATGCGTTGCTGCCCAGGGCGCAGGTGACTTTCACCTTCACTTGGTTGTACATCCGAGGCAAATGCTTCAGAGCCAGTGTGTTGAAATTGCCAAGGATTTCGGTGACAGAGAAGGCACCATAGCGAGCTCCGCTATCCACCAGGGTCTGTGCTAGCTTGATGAATTCCTTCCCACTCACCACACTCAGAGCCCCAAGGTCAGTGCACATCACCCTCAGGAGCCTCTCGGCAATGTTCTGCCGCTCCTTCTCTGGGATCGCGCTGTTCCCTACCGAACCGCTCGCGGATGCTGCAGTGAAACAGAAGGAGGGAGAGAAAGTCCCGGATGAGAATTGCTCCTCCGCAATGGGAGAGGGGAGGAAGTCACAAAACAATTCTGAGAGAGACCTAAAGAGGTGGAACATGCCCAGATGGTGGGAGAGACATCTCCAACCCTGGATTTCTTCCCCCAAGTGTTTCTGGACAGAGGAACCTCCAGGAACAAGCCCTCTTCCTGCTCAGAGCAGGAAGGAACTTATCTGCATGCTTTCCCTGGTGCTTCTCAGTCTCAGTGACTGAGAGCACACACTGTCTACTCACAATCCAGCACTTTAATCAATGGCATCTCAGTGGTGTTCATTGAGGAACTGCCCAGATAAGTTATAATCACGTGTGCCATGTCCTGTCTACAGGTCACAGCTTAGCCCAGCTAGAAAGCTGGACATCTTTCCATTTTTGTGATTTGAGCCTTTTCTTTGAGACAGTTATTTTAAGAGGAGCTGCTTCCTCCATCATCTCAAACAGTACTGAAGCCCAAATTTCCATTTCTTCCTCTGAACTCCATCAACCCTACTTTTTGTGGCTGATTTCAGACAATGTGAATGTCATTTTTGGCCATACTGGAACACAAAACATCATGGTTTTGTATCACCCTTCCCCCAGGTTGCTCAGCTCAAGTGCTTTGGAACTGATTTCCCACAGGGCTGTATTTTACCTTTTCCCGTTCACAGGACGAGCTGGAGATCAAGCCAGACACTGGCTGCCTGCCAGCACAGGGAGTGACAGGTTATGCTTATGTCACACCATGATGACTGTATTAATTTTTTAACCTCAGGCAGGAAAGTCTGACCTTGGATCATAAGCTAACTATTTCCACGACTTCCCAAATGCATCTTTTCCTTACAAACCTTTCCTACTCCCTCCCCAGGGTTCCCAGTACTTTTTGCATATGAGTGCTCATGTAATGGGAATGTTCTGCAGGACAGCACTTGAATTACAGATGAAATCAAGCGCAGCTAGGCGAGACAAGGGCCTTGCGCAATGCCCATCACTGCTGCACCCTCTCTGACAGTCACTTGCTCAAGGCAGACAGGTAAGCCTGGGACAGAAGAGCAATCACTGCTACGTACTATTGTTGGCGTTATTTCTTTGGAGCTGTGGTTTCCACTTTTCTTCAACAACAGTTAGAGGTGATCTGGGCTGGCTAGAGGCAATATTGTTCTCGTTGTCAGCTGTGGGGCAAGAGACAGGGAGGTGTTAGAACCACAAGATACTAATGCTGAAAGCACAAAGAAAGGGAAACAGCACCCATCTGCTCAGCATTTACTTATGGTTTCCTCAACTAAGGTGACACCAATCTGTAGATTTTAAGCAGTTTTCAAGTGAGATGGCACAGTACCATCAGAAACCTTGAAAATTGCCTTTGGACTTGTAAGCTATCCCCTCCCAAAAAGCAGCTGAAATGACAGTGGCTTTTTCTGTGCATTGGTGACATTGATGCCATCAGCACACCTTAAGAAATATCTCCCAAGTCAACTGAAGTTGCACATCAGGAGGAACAGATGTTCCTTGTGCAGCCTAACTTGTGCAATTCACTTGCTTTTGAAAAGAAAAACAACTATTTATCCTTATTTTGCCTTGCTGCCTCTTTCTGCACCACAGGTGGCTTCCCTTTACTGTTAAGCACTTTGTTTTTCAAGCTATGCTCAACTCCTCTGGATCTAAGGATCTTATTACAATCTTCATATATGTTCCTCCCACTGTAGGAGAGGGCCAGTCTCCTCTCAGGCTGATCGCTGCTGCCTCAGACTGGAAAAAGAAAAAAAAAAGAACAAACCAAGTTTCTGGAGTGTGACCAAAGATCATTCCTCTCTATGGCTAAGAAGATACCTACTGCCCTCGGGATCTTTGTGGTCATGCTCCCATTTCTGTAGATGTAACTGGGCTAAACACTTTGGCTGCCAATCTGGTGGAATCTTTCAAGATCAGTAAATTCTGTATTGTATCCATGTTCTTTCCCCTCCTGTGCCCTGAGAACTTCTCCCCACCCTCTAGAGGAAATTTTCTAGTTCTTAGGATGCTTCACTAAGAAATCGTGCTCTGAAACAGGCTGTGAAGCAACAATAAAATGCACAATGAAGAAGGATGGAAGAGGAATGAGAAAGATGGGAGAGACTGATGACCAGGCTGAACAGAAGGATGGAATTAAAACCACAGAAGACAAAACAGGTCCTGTCCTCATCACAGCTGGACTCATCTAACCCAATTTTGGACATCTCTGTTAGGCACACCTCACTTCAAAGTGGCCCCTTGGGGCTCCTTTTACGCACAGTGGTGTAAAGCAGACTGAAGGGTGTGAGTCATTCACCCAGGCAGAACCAGATGCCTCTTGCAGTGTAGGACCCACCACGCTCTGAACTCACCTGGGGTCAATGACTTCTTCTCCACAGATTATAAAGGAGTCCAGGCTGACCAGCTCAGGCGGCAATATCTACAGCCTAGCCACACCAGCATGCAGTGAAATGAAGCCTGCCCCAGCACTCCAGAGAGCAGAGCATGAGTTAGAGCAACGCCTTCTTAAGGCACACCCAGGCACTTTGCTCTGCAGCCCCGGCTGACCTGGTGCTGGGCAGAGCAGTGGGCTGCCCATCAGAACACACAAGAGAGACAAAAGTTGCTCTCCTTTGTGTGTTGCAATGACCTGGGAGAGATGAGAGGCCAGCAAAGATCTAGAGACAAGCAATGATGGGATGAAACTCCAGTGACCTCTTCCGTATGAGCAAGTCCTCTCAAATTTGAGCCGCACTGCACATTAACTGCTGGGGCATTCATAGATCTTGCTGTTGAACAGCCACAGATTGCACAGTTGTTGTTAGGTCTGGGCACTGCACTGGCCACAGACTGGATCAATACCTAAGAGCAAACCAGGATAGGACAGAACCGGGGGAGACTCTGGGACTCCCTCGAGGACTGCATGTGCCCAGGGAATTCCCCGGTCACAGCTGGTACCTGGGGAGCACTGCCATGCTCAGGGCTGCAGCCAGATGTCGGTCTTTGCAGGTGTGGAAGACAAGAAAAGAGCAGGAGGTGCTCCAGTGGATGCCAGTGATCAGATACGACCCATCACTTTTTCCCCAGCATTTGCTTAGACCAAGTGCTCAGAGCTAATGCCACCACTGTCCACATCTCCAACCATCTGTGGGCAGGCAAAGGAAAATGCTGGTTGTCGCCTGCCACCTTTGTTTATGGTTCAGGCCTTCCTTGTCTTGGGGAGGGGCAGAGGGCGGGGGAGAAACCCTCTATATTTCATCTCCCCAACTCTTTCATCTATTTCATAATAATAGGGGACTTATTATGCAGAAATATCCACTGGCATTCAATATGGCATTAATGAGATTTGTGCATTTCAGCCTCATCTTCCTTATCAGGCAGTCTGTGAACTACACAGATCATGGTTCCTTAGTTTCTCTTCATGCCTACAATCCTTTAATCCAGGTTCAGCCTAGCTGTCCTTTTATTTTTTTAGCTATAGATTGTAGGAAGGGCATTATTATATGGTAGCACTCGACCTGAACAAAGTACTCTAAAAGGAGCCAAAGCTATAAATTGTACAGTGTAATTACAGAACAAATTCCTTTGCCTGGTGTTCTGCTGTTCTGTTTCTGCCTTTCAGCCTCCAATTTATATTCTAATTGCTTCTTCTCATTGTGTAGCTCCTTTATGGAGCTATAATCTCTCCTTATTACCTTCCAGCCTCCAGGCTCAGCCCTCTGAATGCCTCAAGAGCCGGTATGTCCCTGCTTTTGCTCCTGGAGGCCAGCAGCACGTTCCCCACCTTCAGTCACTTGAGAGAGGGGCTCAGTGGATGCATCACGTGTAGTTGGAAGAGATTAGCCCTTCGCATCAGACATGATAAGCCAAACTGGACTCCTGAACACATTCACTGAGGGAGTAGTCGACCCGTATGCGCTCCTTGTATCTGCATCCCCATAATGAAACACTCCTTGAGCCAGGCACGTGGACTGGTGTCAACGGCTACTATGCCAGTGTCCCCAGTACGTGGGTTCTATGCCACCAGTTCTGCTGACTACTGCAAGGTCTCTGCAACCCCCAGACTTCAGAGATGTTGTGCCAATACCGTTTCTTCGATATGAAAATCCCCAAGCTCTGACAGGCTAAAAGGCAACAAGCTGTGACCAGAGTAACTGCAAGTCCTGTGTCACCTCCCCTGTTGCTTGCTGCAGCCCAATATCCAGACCTGGACACCCCCAGAGCTGTCTGTAGCTTTCACAAGTCTTCGTTTTGTTTTGCCCTCATCCCACACCAGTAAATATCGCGCCGCTCGCCCCCAGCTGTGCAGATCTGGAGGAAGGGCTGCTGTTCCCTCCAGGGGAAGGGGCATGAGCACAGGACTGGCAAGCGCCACGCACAGAGATGCCAGAGCAGGGGACAGCTGCTTTCGCAGGGGGCAGCCTTGGTGACGCCTGGAGAAAGCACTGAAAGAAAACACGTACAAGCTGGTTGTCGCTATGCCAGCGACATCTGGGGGAAGCAGTGAAACAGAAGACGGTGACTTACAAACAGAGCAGGGAGAGATGAGAAAATCCTGAGTTTAACAGGAACAATCCTGAGTTGGAGAGAGGGGATCTCTGCTGACGCTGCATGTGTCAGATCACTGATACCTGCTCCCTCCAGCCCTGCTCTGTGTCCAAAGTAACCCAGGTGAGCATGCCCAGGCCACGGGCCACTTGTAAAGAAGAGAGAAAGAAGACGCTGCAGACAGCACTAGCTTAAAATTTTCAATGGCTCACACCTTGCCAGTGAGTTGCCACTCTCCCCTTTTACCCCCTAGCCTTGGTCCCCCTTTTCAGCTTCTCTACTCCTGTCACCAAGAGCTACAACTCAAAATGCCGCGTTTCAGTACCAGAGACCAGAACAAGGAACAGGACGGCCAGGACGCAGCTTGGAGGCAAGCAGAAATTGCCACCAACAAAGAGCAGGAACAGACCCCAACACCACGGAGTGACAGCAGCCACCACCCTGAGTCGGGGAACACGACACATTAACTAGCTTATGCTCTAAAAGAAAATATCCACAAATCTCATACCTTCTTATACCAAATCACCCTAAATGCTATTCATACTCATTATAAAGATGATACTGAATAAATAAAGTAGCTGCTGAACATCCCATAAACCCTTCACTAAGATTTGCCAATGAGAACTGAACTGGAACCGGGGAACCGCATGGATGAAGAACTCAAGGGACACTCATTAAAACTAGGACTAAAACTAAAACACAGAACAAGATAAGAACTTTGATGAGAATTACTGTTACAGAATGGAAAATATGTTTTTCCTCAAGCCACTGGTCCTCCCGTGCCACTCTACTCAGGGCTTACCTGTAAAGCGAGGGCACATGCAAGCACTGAGCCTGTATCTCATGAGAACAGCTGACAGAGAACACAGGTTTTTCGAAGGTGAATTAATTTGTAAACCTGTGTTGATTCACTTGAATTTTCATTCAAGAGGAAAAAAAAATAAATATTCTGCCAATATATATTAAAAAATCCTATTCCTACATTTTTGAATATTTTGAATGCTGTCCTTGAAACAGCTTTGGCTTTGAAATGTTAAAATCACCTCTTACATATTGAGATAGAAAACAAAAAAGGTGGCTTAGAAACAAAGTAGTGGAACTACTCCTCAGAATTTTCTTTTGTAGATAGCTGAGAAAGTAATGAATACGACTGATGAAATGGCAAATTCTTCTTCTGAGAACACATTTCAGTTTTGCAGAACTCCAGGAGCCACAAGCACGGAAAAGGACTTGTGTAGGCAAAGGCTCTGCTGCCCTGCAAGCACTGTTGCTTTGTTTGCTTCAATGAGAACTACTCTTTTTGCAGGAAGAGAGATTTAATCTGCTGTAGGAGTAACCCACTAACGCTTACGCAATGAGCATTCCCTAGATACCTCTGGATAAAGGGAATGAGCAGTTTGACGTGCTCTGTGTGGCACGTTTCCTCTCTTCCTGTGGAAAGGAGTAATATCTGTGTGATACCCTGAGCCTTGCATTGTTGCAGCCACTTCTATGTGCTTCAGCCTTTGAGGTTTTTGGGTGTTTTTTTTTTTTCTTTCTGCAGGTGAAATTACTGGGGCTTTGGAAACCGTGAGCACAGAAAGCTCTATTGACACACAACGGGGTCAACATCAGGTATCAGCGCAGACTTTAATTCTCCGCTTTAAGGGAGTCGAAGTGCCCAGCTTACCTGCGTGGGACTGCATGTGCTCCAGGAGATTGTTATAAAACTGGAACTGGATTCCACAAGCTCCACAGGTGTAAGGCTCTGTTTGGGAGAAATCAGTTCAGAAGAATTATACAAAGTATGCAGGGAAGCAGCACACGTGCATACTTCAGTTTGTACAGTAGCGGGGCAGCGCCGTAGGGCCCGGTCCTTGTTACCGCAGCCCACGTGTGCCCATCACAGCAGCTCCTCAGAACCGAACCCGCAGGGCTCGGGCTGTGGTTCGGGAAAGCGCTAGGGCACGTCACTGCTTCCTGGGCTGGGGGCAGGCATTTATCCACGTGCTTCCCTCCACTGCCAGGAGAAGGTCTGGCACCGCAGAGGGACAGCTCGTGCGCTAAAGCGAAGCACCTGCCGGGGTGTGTGTGTGATCTCGTGAATCTGCACAAAGATTTGACAGGCTACACACTGACCGGGCTTTACCAGCTCATGCCTGCTGCAGGCTGTTTTAAGCATATCCTTGTTCTTTTTAAAGCTTGAAAGCAAAGCATAGTGAATTGATTTGACATCCAGTTCTGTCACATTCCAGTCTCTGCTGCCTTTTCTGAGTAAGACAAGGAGTACTGGGTTGTGAAAAATCCTGTTGATCAGAAGCTGGGGCACAGAGAAGTGCCATGGGGAAACTTAGCATCATTTTTTTTTTTTTTTTTTTTTGTGGCTGTCAACAAGTGCAGTGAGACTGGGGAACTGTGAATGCCACTGGGCTCAGTGGCAGCAAGTTGCCGGGGTTAAGCAGAAGTGGAAGGGAAGAAGCACAGAAACCAGAGCTGTGCCAGAAGGCTGAGAGCAGAGCAGGAGAGCCATGTTGCCAGAGTAATGTGGATGAGCTGGAGTCAGGAAAAAGCTGGGTGCAGAGCTCCCTCAGGAGCTGAAAGATATGTTTAGTTCTTTTCTAACATGTATGTTGAAAGTGCATTTTTTCCACTGAATTAACCTAATAGCGAATGTTTGCAGTTGCTCGTTTAAACAGCATTAGTCGAGCGCATTAGTTGACAGATGGAATATCAAACGACAGTGGCTGAAGTACGTTAACATTGCATTTTGCTTCTGTACCTCCAGATACACCAGCACACTGCCACCGTTTATGCTGTGGCATTCTGTTTCCTAACAGCAGCATGGACAAGTGCAAGCATTTGGTATATAAACAACTTTGCATATAAATGTCTGGCACACACACAGAGCAAGGTCTATTGCTACAATATACCAGAAATCTGCATCTACATTTGAAGGGAAAAACACGTTCTGCACCAATGAAACTTAAGAAATCTATTGCACATAAGCAAAAGCACCAGCATCCAGGATGGAAGAACGAAAATACAGGAAAGCACAAGCCTGACTTGGCTATAATCTGCAAGATGTCTATCTCAGGTAGCAAAACCCAGAATTCATCAGATGGCTACAGGAAGCTGCGAGGAAAAACATAAAAGAGACCATAAGCAGTTTGTATAAGCTATACTTATACGCCGTAAGGTTAAACACCCTGCTGTGCCCTTCCCACAGAACCTACAGCCCTCTAAAAAGATGGAGCCAGCTCCATCCAGAGGAGCTGTGCTCAGTGCTTTATCTACCTTTCTGTATTTTCTTGGGATGCTACACCTGTGGTTTGGTGTAGTGAGGAAGTTTGGAAATACTGTACTTAAGTAACTGTGCTTGTGAAAAAAGGAGAAGACTTTGGCATCTGAGTAGTAGAATTTCAGCACAAGGAGAATTAACATGGACTGGGTGTTTCTGTTGAAGTCATCAGTGGTGAAATATCAGTTGTGGTAAAATGCCACAAAGAGGTACAATGTAACCTCATTGTTTAGACTCCTTTTTTAATTATCAGAGAGGAGAAGACCCCACATGGGTGCAAACCATCCCTCTTAGATACATACTTCCATGTCAGATCATTTGTGTTACGGGTGCACCTATTTGCCTCTGGAACCTAGACTGCTCAGATGGAAATGTCTCAAACGAAGTGGGTTGACTCCCCCTTCAAGTGTCAAAATTAACATTTGATTTATCGAACAAAAGAAGTCACACTCCAGAGAGGCTGCTGAATGCTGCTGACAGGTTCCTGGCAGGGTCAGAAGAGCTCCAGTGCTGCAGCCAGGGCAGCTTACAAAGCTTCCACCCCTGTTCTTTTCCCCAGGGCTTTGCTGGAGCCCCTTCCCTTGTAACAGAGTTGGAAGAGCAGAACATGCTGTACATGTCAGGTGCTTCAGAAAGTCTGAATTTCAGAGATGTCACACCGCGGCTCTCTGGGACACTTTCAGGTCTCCGTGTGACATTTACACATACGCAGGCACATGCATTCCCTTCTGTCATCTCTGCCTGTGGTAACCTTCGCCAGAAAAAGTGGTGGCAGAGCAATCCATCCTTCACTGCTGCAGTCCAAGGACTTGGTTCTCTGCTCCCAGACAAGTACACGAACTCCACGATTCCCCTAGAAGCAGGTTTCCAAGTAGCCACCAGAACAACTCTTCCCCTAAGCTCTGTTACAGGGCTCCTCACTGGGAAGCAGATCACTGCCATACATCCAGCACCCTCCGAGCAGCACACGCTCACATTCATTTTTCTCTCCTGTTTCATTACATCCTCACATTTCCTTCTGAGCTTACTTTGTCTCACGGAGCTGCTTTACCTTCTTCCTGTTATATTCTCAGCTATTTTATCACCATCAAGCTGTGTTGTCCTTCTAAGCTCTCCCCTTGCTGACTCCCCTTCATTCCTGACCAGTTTTTTCTGGGTTCTCCCCATCTCCATCCATCATGTGGTGACCATCAAGGTCATAGAATCATCAAATCATTAAGGATGAAAAAGACCTCAAGGATCATCAAGTTCAACTGTCAACCCAACACCACCCAACCCACTAACCCATGTCCCCAGGCACCACATCTACATGTTTCTTGACCCCCTCCAGGGATGGTGACTCCACCACTTCCCCGGGCAGCCTGTTCCAATGCCTCATCACTCTCTCGGTGTTTCCACAGTTCTTCATCTCAAGCTCCTCTGCCACTCCAACATACTGCATATACTGCATACTCAGTGCACTCAGTGACTCTGAAAATTGTCTCATTTGTAATTCTTTTCAGAAAAATCCAGTTGATTTTCATCCTGTTTCCAAAAGCCTCTGGAACCAAAACCACTGTTTACTTTCAAAACCTCATTTTGTGTTCTGAAAATGATAAAACCTTTTCTAAATATTTCTGAGATAAAGAGCCATAGAAATCTACAGTTTGCCACAAATGAAAATGAGTTAAGTAAAAACTAGGGATAGAATTTAAATTCATCTAACAATTCAAAAGTCTTTCCAAAGGGAGGAGGAAAGAGGCACTTGGGAGGATGTGCAGAATCCCCATGGAAATGAATGAACTTGCTTTACTTCCCAGGGCTTCATACTTCGGAGATTTCAGCTTCTAAGTCCCTTACGCTCCACAGGCAGAGAGCTGGGGTCAGGCTGGCTGGAAGGAGGGTGGGATGCATCAGTGCTAGGAGAGGGAGAGGGATCTGGAAGGTGGAGAGAAGAAAGAGGCAATCTGTACCTGAAACCCGGCAAAAGCCACTGCTGGAAAAGAACTGCTCATCTGGGCTGGTACACACAGCGAGGAAATCTCCCCTCCCTTTGATTTCTCCTCGCAACTTAAAGGTAGAGTCAACGGGAAAAGTTGTCAAAACTGAACACCCCTGTGAGCCACACTTGTGCCCCCTTCTCCCTCCTGGGGGCATACACCCCTCTACACCACTGCAGGACCTCTGCTTTTCCCTCCCCAGGGGGAATTTCAGCTCTCCTCTTCCTCGCTCAGCCTGAGGTTTGCAGCATCCAGGAGGGATCTGTTCTCCGTCAGCTGGTCTGAGCTCAGCAAGGGGCTCACAGGTCCTCCCATGACTGCTGCCATCGGCGAACCTCTCCTGTCCCTTTCGGCTTTGCTGGTGGCACTACAAGGAAAACTGGGACCATTTGTTCAACCCCCTGAGAACACCTGTGCTCCCCAACAGCCCCAGTTGGTTCGGGTGGCCAAGACAGGCGTTATGTACGAAGAAAGCAGGAAGAGTGGCTGTGCAGCCAGCTCAGAAACGGCGCAGAGACCTCCACCTGCAGGACCGCCCAGACAGCCTGTCACACGCTGCTGCAAACCTTCTCCCTCACCCCCTCAAACCCTTCATTATTTCTCAGGAACCAATTCCTCCTGCTGCTCCACATGTGAGGGGGTGGGAATTGTGTCAGGAACAACAGTATCCCCTGTCGATGAGAAAAAAACAGCCTTTCATCCACTTGCTCAGACAGGCTCCTGGCTCTCACCGGGGCCCATGGGCCTCTTCATAATGCCAGGTGCTGCAAACTTCCTAGCTCTGTTCCCTTGGCGTGGGCTGGGGAGGAGGGTGCTCTGCTTTTGCCAAACTTCCTCGGTTTGCATTCCCCTGGGCTGGTGCAGGACGTGGGCTACATCATCCCAAGATCCCACCAACTTCCAGTGGGCAGGCAGGGCTGCCGCACTCACACAACCTCCCTTCACGCACGGGAATGGAGGATAAATTCACCAGGCTGCATCAGGAGCTTTCCCCTCTTCTCCTTATTCCGCAGCTCACTCCTGGTACCCACTGCTCAGCCTAGAGCAGGCGGCTGATGGGGAGGGAGGGTGGGAAAACAGCCCAAAGCCCAAAAGCTCACGCACACAGCCACAGAAGGTGGAAGGAGATAGAGAGCTCACACGCCTTCAGAGTACTCTGCCTTTACTGTCTGGAATCCCGGGTTTTGGTTGCTCTTGCTTTGTTGGCCAGGCTGTGACCCAGGAACAATTCCTGCAGCTGGCACGTAGCAGTCCGTGGCCTCTCTGCTACTGACTGCTGCTTGTACATCCTACAAAAACTTCACATTAACAGATAAGCCATTAAGATGCTGCAATGCTCAATTCTAAACCTGTAGCCCAGCATTCTCACACTTTGCTGAATGTCTCAGAAGATGAAATGCCAGGCTGCTATTGTTCCTCTACCCACCTCCAGAAAGCAAGCCAGAAAACAAAGCCAAGACCAGAGCCATGAAGCTGGGGCAGCAGTCAGAGATGATGCATTTTCTGCAGGTCTTGGGATGTGTCTCAAGCTCTCCCATGGGTTCGTATTCAGCCACAGCTACGATGCACTTTCCTGCAGCAGCAGGAAAAGCTGGAGAGCCTGTGCAGCAACAGAGAAATGGCTCTGCCTGAGCCCTCACACAGGCTGCAGTGCGGGGAGCCTTGCAAAGCAAGCCTCTGGGCATCTCCTACCCTCTGTGTCCTGCCACGTGGCTGAGCTGCATGCAAGAGGCTTTCATAGAATCACAGGATGGTTTGGGTTGGAAGGGACCTTAGAGATTGAGTCCCCCCCCCTGCCATGGGCAGGGACACCTCCCACTAGCCCAGGTTGCCCAAAGCCTCATCCAGCCTGGCCTTGAACCCCTCCAGGGATGGGGCATCCACAGCTGCTCTGGGCAACCTGGGCCACTGCCTCACCACCCTCACTGTGAAGAATTTATTTCTAATAACCAGTCTAAATCTGCCCTCTTCCAGTTTAAACCCATTACCCCTTGCCTCTCACTGCATGCCCTTGTAGAAAGTCTCTCCAGCTTTCCTGTAGGGCCCCTTCAGGTACTGCCCCTTTGCTGCAGAAGGGGTGGGAGCAGGCTCTAGGTCTTCACAAGAGGACAGAAATCATGAACTGGACTCTCGTTCAGCCTGTCACACCAGCCCTGCTGTCTCTCTGGCAGTGTGTTCAGAAGCTTTTCTGCAATCCTGCAGCCTAAATTTGTCATCAGAAAGCCTGTGCATGAAACAGCAAACGTTGTGTGGGCCAGACGTGAGAAGGCAGGGCAAGGGTACAACATTTAGCACACGACAAGTGACCGGCTGCACAGCACCTACCCGGTCCATTGCTGTCTGTCCACCCACCACCATCACCTACCTCCTCCTCTGACCCCTCCTTCCTCACTGTCTGTCCGCTTCCACTCCGAGCTGGTGGCACAGACCCAGCAGGTTCTTCTCGAGCCGTGCGAGCCGTTGTTGTGCTACACGCTCCTTCCACGGCCTGCCACGCAGCGGAGCGGACCCCAGCGCTCGGAGGTGGCCGTCTCTGTACCGGCAGCGCTATCCTCTCTGCAGCAACGTGAGGATCGCACTGTGCTGAGCCAGGATCCCGACTCTGTACACTCTTGTGAGGCAAAATATTTGAGAATTTGGAAGGATGAGGAAATCACTCAACACGCTCCATCTGCCAGCAGGAAAGGGCTCCTCTGCAGCCAGCTGATCTCAATGAGTCTGACTCTTGTTCCCGAGTTTTCCCACAATGTAGAGGGGTTGCGTAGCAGAAAGCACAAACTAATCCACTGCAAGCAAGCAGTGCTGCTGGAACTGCAAACACTCATCTGAGGGCACTTCCAGCAGCCTCTTGCAAGCTCAGCCTGGAACTCAAGCATTGCAGCGTCCCCAGGCAATGGCATCTCATTCTCCGATCAAACACCAAAGAGCATTTCTCCCCCAAAAGAAGAGACATTATTCTGTGACGCACTGGGTGTTGGCTGCTGAGAACAAAGCACTCCCCTAAAGCATCCTGCCCCAGAAAAATGGACCTGCTTTGCGAGCCAGGCCTCCCTCCGCTCTGAACGAGACATGCTATCGCAGCACCCTTACTGGCTGCCCAGGTGCTCTCTGAAAACACCTCTACAGAAACCTAAAACACCAGCAGCTGCTGAAGCCTCCTCAGTCTCTTGAGCCAGACAAAACTAACACTCACAGATGGTTGCACAATTTAAAACACCTTTCCCCAGGGCTATTATTAGACACTTTTATTAGTGCTTTACATACACCCAGTGAACACGGCTCCAGGCGAAGGCAGCAGGCTGTACAAGCCAAGAGAGAGAAAAACCAGCATTTGTGCTTAGGTTAAATAAATCACTCTAATTCCCACCTTAACTCTCATTGCCACATCTAAGCCAGAGAAAATAGCAGAGCCTGGGTTGAGGCCAGGAATGAACATGAGTCGAAAGCTTTCAACAGAAAGTTTCAACAGACAATGCCCCGAGCTGCTCGTGCAGGAGTGAAACCCAGCAGCCAGCTCCAGGAGCGATGGCAGCGCAGGGAGCGGGCCCCCAGGCAGCCCTCTCAACAGCAAAGACCCACATTTCAACACTTCTGTCCACATTTTGATGAAAAACAAACGCAGAAGAACTGTAAGGGAAAGGTCTCAACGCTTTCGCCCAATGTTTCCATTGGCTTTGGCTTTAATAACTGTAACTGCATCTTCCTGTACCTTTGACACAACCTGATGAAACAACACATTAGCGGCAGCCTCCTAGGAAAGTGTCATCACACAGCAAAATAAGTGGAAATTTCTTCAAAACAGAACTTCTGCCACTTACACCCATCTCAGACAATAAGAGGTGCTACATAAAAAGGTGCAATGAAGCAAACTTTAAAAAGGGGCATCCCGAATGCATCAAGGTTCTTAAATTTGTTGGCACTAATTTGATTTCTCTTCCAGCGTGAACTCTCATGTTCTGAATAAAGCTCTGACTTCTTTCTCAGCTAAGTGTCCTCTGCCACTGTGGCCAGGCTCAGGGTGCAGCACCCAGGGCTGTCCTACAACAAGGGACAGCAGTCCTGGATCATAAACGGCACAGACAGGACAACCTGTAACATCCAGACCCAAGCCAAGCAGTAGCCAAATGCACTGTGAGGCAAAGGAAGATGCTTCATCTTGAAATACCCAAGGACAAGGGGCAGAATCTCCAGCAGAGACCCCCTGTATCTGCCCATCCCAAACATGCTCTCCTTCCCCTCCCGCTTGCTCGCCGCCGTGCCCTGGGCTCCCATTTCTCACCTGCGCTCAGGCCAAAGGGAATGGTCTCTGCAAAGGTGTTTAGGGAGCTGAGCCATGAAGACAAGTCTTCCTGTGCGCAAATGTAACTTTAAACATGGGTTCATTTTCAGTCTGCAAACCTGGGCCTCTCAGAACACGTATTATTGGCGTACTTCACAAACCTCTCAGAAGGCTGTAAGTTTAGTCTAAATGGTCTAGCAGCCACACAGTGCACAGAAACACACCAAAAGATTTCTGTTGCATTATACCTGAAACCAGAGCCACACAAGTCAGGTATTTTGTTCTTTGACACCTGGACTCATAACAACAACAAAAAAAATTTATTAATGAAAAATGCTAACAGGGCAGGGCAGCACGGCTGCAGGTTGGAAGTCCCTGCCTCTGTGCACCACAGACATCCATCACACTTACTTTGCAAAAGCGGGAAAGGATTTGAAATCAGGGGACTTGCAGTTTCTGCAAAAAAGAAAGAGATTTAAATATTGCGACTGGCAGAGACCTTGCTGCATGCTACACAGCTCTGCCTATCTGCTCGCTGATCCTTATCCTACTCCGCACTTCCAGATTTAACTGTGGCCGGATGAGGGTCTCTGTTCACTACAAATTACAACATGTCCAGCTGTGAATTTTCTCTCTCAGTGTCTCACTAAGTTTCTCATGGCTAGGAATCTGCACCTTTCCTTCCCATTTTGCAATGTCCAGAGATTTTAACGTACACCCTGTGCTACAGTAACGGAAATAGTCAAGTAGGAAGGAACAGCAGAAAAAACTAAAGGTGCAAGAAATCCTTTACAAATTGTTTTTTGATGCCCCAGATGCAAATTCCCAGATTCACCATGCAGCTTCCTCAAATGGAAGCTGGGAAGGAAAACCAGGGTGTCTCAGCCTCTCTGGATGGTATGGCAAAGGAGAGAGTTCCTAAGCAGTGCATGTTCCTCCAGGCTGAGAACATACTGTCGGGCACACCTTGCACATCGCCTCTCTTTAAGGAGTGACTGAAAGGAACAGAAACCCTGGATGCTCCACAAGCCCATGGTCAACCAGGGGCCACCTGCATCCGCCCTGCGGTGGACTGGAGCAGAAGCAGTGATTCCCAGCGCCTCAGACCCTGTGCAGTTTCCTACAGTTTCCAGGTGAGGTCCTTTAGTGTCAAACCCCTGCAGAGGGGAAGAAACCATCAGAGTTAAATATTTAGTCATCAATTCAGTTCATTTACAGAAAGGTCCTAGGTGCAAAGTTCTGAATTGACGCATCGGTGAATGTCAGGGCTGACGGACTTGGACTGGTTTGCTCGGAAGGAAAACTTAACTCAGTAACCGCATAGGTCAAGCACAGTGAGCCTTCATGCTCAATATTTCAACATGATGAGGACCTGAGCTGCTGAAGAGGGCTTCAGCTGGCAGGGCCAACCAGTACGGAATGAAGATGAAGGCATGGGTGATGCTGGGCAGAGACATGAGTAGACAGTGCTATGGAAAGGGAGGCACGGGAGGCACCAGCCGGATGCAGAATGCTGCTGATTGTGTAACACTCTATTACCCAGCGTCGCACTAGAGTGCTATCTGCACCTGGTGAGGTCTGCATCTGGGGGAAGATCTTCACTGAAACAGGTTCTTAATCCTGTCTTACCGAGCAGCTGAACAGGACAGGCTCCTCTAGGTACCATTCTTTCACTCCTCATGCTCTCTGTCTCTACTCGGGAAGCGTTGTCCTTATTCAGTGAGCACATGGATGCTCACTGGACCGTCCCACGGCTTCAGGCTTTAAAGGGCTCTTTCAGAGCCCCAGGGCAAGTACGCTTTTGAGGGCCAACACCCGACATTTTACCATCCCTCCAGAAGTCAACTTGATCTGGAAGAGGCACACAGCACTGGCATACACCACTTAATCCACTGCGATGGATTCTCAACGTACTGTCTGTCTGCTTTCCAACCAAAAGCGCTATCGTAGTCTCCTCTTTATGCCTGACTTCCTATGCACATGAAAACCATTGTCGGTCTGCAATAGGAGTTCAGGCCACTGGCTAAACACTGCTACTACGGTATTTGAAGTGAAGAAAGACTGTTGGGATTTTTCTGGTCTTCATATTATGGGTCATTTTGTGATCCATGCACTGTAACATCCCTGCCTCAGCACAGCCAGTCCCACTAGAGCCAACTACTCACAGAACAGTCACACAAGTGTCCTCGTTCGAATAATTAATGATAATTTGGCTTGCTCTGGGGATTTGCTGATCTTTCACTCCACAGATTCTCCATGCAAAACTGAAACAGGAGTTCACCTTTTTCTGCCCACACATTGGTCTATCAGACTCTTTTTGCCATGTCCTGCACAATATCTGTGCTTGAAGACTGCAATCCACAGCTTGCATTACTGGCTGGCTGTTCCCAATTTTGCTGACTGCTTACATTCTTGCCTCAATGTCTTTCATATGTATTGTCTCGATGTCCTTCCTGGTGTCCCAGAGCTCTTGAGCAATTGGCAAGATTTCACCCACAGAGACTTGCTGCTGAGCGGTTATTTTAACCCAGATATCTTTCTTCCTGTCTACACGTTGCCTGTTCAATATGACAAATCTGGAACAACCTAAATTAATGTGGCACCAGAAATCAACAGTTCATTCCTGCAAACCTCAATCCCCTGCAAATGCCCAGTGGACACAGCAACTCTTACTTATGCAACGGAGCAAAGCGACACTTTCTGAACTGAAGCCTTTCCCTATGTTACTCTTTTAATGGTGAGAACTGCATTCCGATGGTAACCCTTCATCTGGGCACATCATTTTCAGGCTGCTTTGAAAAATGCAGCTCTGTGCATGTGCAGTTGTGTTGCCCCTTGGTCAGCAGTACCTGTGCTCAGCACAGCTTAGTTATGACTGTGGGAGCTCACACAGCAACAGCTCCCCACCCCTCTCTTTTCCTCACTCCTCAAACTTGGTCATGACCAGGCTTGGACCTTCCAGCTCAATGGAAAGGCAGCAGGAGCAGGCTCGTACCGTTCACAAACCAACCAGTAGATGAGAAAGAGATGTACCAAGAGATGAACCACTTGAATGGGATCTGTATTTTGTGCTTCAATCCAGCTGACACAACCTGTAAGAGATTTGGGTGTGTCTCAGGCGGCAGAGGCGTAGGGGGGTGGCTGTGCCAACATCGGACTGGAATCAACAACCGAGAATCGTTGTGCCCCAAGGATTAAAGCTGTATTCACCCACCAGAAATCCTAGCCTAAGAGTCATGTCTTCCCAGAAGAAATCCAGCCAGATTTGGATGTGCTACACGATCACCGGACTACAGAGAAAGAACAGAAGAGGATGTACAGCCAACAAGAGAGAAGGAGGAAGATCCCAGTGTTTGTATGTATCACATCTAGCTGACTCCTGCCACGTGAGTACCACAACCACCTGCACTTTCAGTGCAAAACAGCTTTTTTGGTCTAGCTGGCAGTTTGAGGATGTGAATATCCTTTCTGTATAGTGAGATCATCCATCAACTCAAGTCTCACGAACACACAGTACTGCTGACAACAATCTCAATGTCATGATGCAATCTGCTTCATCCCAGGTCTGGCAGCAGCCGCTGCTGGGTGTTTTTGTCTGGCTTTCCCTTTGGGTGCACCGGGGACCAGTGTAAGGGCGAGAGCAGGAGCTGAACTCCTGTTACTGCAACAAAAGCTGCAAAGGGCACTCGAGCAGACATCATCTCTGCCCCCATCACCACCAAACAGAGTTTCAGAGGAGATTTATGTCACGAGATTAACGCCGATTTGCACTATGCCTTTTTGCTGCTTTCCATAAAACTAAAGGTTAGTTCTGCTCAGTTGCTGAGCAAGACAGACACACTACCCATTCCTGTTTAACAGACCACCCAGTTTAACACACACTAAAAATACTGCTTTTATGTGGCAAGTGGTGAACAAGACATTTCTAATTATCCTTCTGCTTGAAACAGATCCATGCTACAACTGGATGGAAATCAGGAGCCATAATATATTGTAGGATGCTGCTTATGTACGTTTGCACTAGCTAAATATAACCTACCCGTGCTGCATACATAGGAAATAAAGTGTACTACTGAAAAATGTTTTGCACTTAGAACGGATTCACCAGAAAGAAAAATAGCACAGAAGATCAGGCAATGACAGACTAACTAGTCTGCCATTTCTGAAAATCCCACTAAGCGCATGTTTGAAATTTGGTCCTATGTCCTTTAAATTCTCAGAACTGGCACTTCTCAGACTTTTCCAAAAAGTTTGACTTCTAAATCGAAAGGAGGAAATTAATTTTTTTTTTGTCTCAATCTCACCTCATCTTGGCATGAACTGCTTCAAAAAAGAAGATATTTTCCCTGCCCCTCTACCCAGTCTGAAATAAACAGTGGAAAGAAAAGCTTCCCTGTGTCAATATGAATGAAAAGCACTGCCATTTCAGAAACTGTACATGCTAAAATTTGTTCCACTGGAACTTATGACAGTAATAGTTACCTAATGCAGCAGATTAATTGAGACATATTTATACAGCTTAAATCAACCTCGAAAGTTAAAAATATTTCCCAATTCCCTACATAATTTTAAATGTTGTCTCTTTCACGTTCCTAACGTCTAGCAAGTTTAGACAGCGACAAATACTGTCAATTTCAATGAGCTGTTTTTCTTTTGATGGCTGTATTTGAAGTTATCTAAAGAACTTTTTTTTCCCTTTTTGTTTTCTTTTTCTTCTTGAAGTCTCACAGTTTCCTTCCTCCCTCTTGGCCTACAGATAGATGGTATAACTGCAAAATCTTCATTTTCCTAAGGAGTCATCCATAGCGTCCAAACCAACAGACCAAAGCTGGATTATGCTGTAAACACTAAGAGATGGTTATTGTCCCTGAGGCTTTCCAAAATCAGACAAGAAGTGAGACAACAGAGAGACCCAAAAGCTTGGGAAGTAACACACGTGTGGTTCGACACTCCATTGCTGCAGGGCCAAGCCGCAGACGCCAGGCAAACGCTGCTCTGCCCACTCCAGCTGCACATGGTGGAAGAGGAACGCACTACATGTATTTGCCCCTGTTGGGGGCTTTTTCCTTCCCAGGTTCAGGCTGAAAATCACTAGCTCTTCAAGAAGAGTGTTTGACAAGCTGGCCTTCAAGTATTTTTTGGAATTTAGTACAGAAAAAACCCTGCCCATGTCAGGACCCTGCAAAATGACCACCACCCAGGAGCGCCTTCTTGAAAGCAGCTTCACAGCATCTTAGATGATTAACAGTTTACACATCACAACAAGCCAATTCCATCTTTTAGGATCAGCTCATATCATTGTTTTCTGGACCTTGCTTAGTTCAGCAGTGAAAAATCACAAGCTTCACGCAACTCCGGACCTCTGCCTTGGCCACCTGCGCTCCAGAGGCAGCCAAAGGAAGCAATCTGCACATTTTAGCAGATACTATTTTTAAAGCACTGTGAAACTTACAGGTTTCAGCAACAAGGAAATGTCAAGGGGCTGTGGAGACTCCTTCCCATTAATACAAAGGACACGCACCCAATCGTGAGGTGGACGGCAGATAAACAGTCCTTGTCCATCCACTCCGCGGCTCCATCATGCCCAGCTGGGAAAGGGACGTTCTGATAGTAGATGGGACCGAAACACAGCCACAAAGCGGTGTTTGCCATGCAGAACAGGAGCTGTTGTGGTTTTATGGGCAGTAAGATGCCAGGTTACTCAGATAAGGCTCCCAGGTACCTGCACATTCACTATGACAAGGATTGGGGC